AGAGAGAGAGAGAGAGGGGCGAGAGAGAGAGAGAGAGAGAGAGAGAGAGAGAGAGAGAGAGAGAGCGAGAGAGAGAGAGGGGGAGGGTTTTGGTTGTAGGATGTAGGATTTAGGGTTTAGGTCTTGATTTTGGGCTGCAATATTTCGGAGAAACACCTCAAGAAGCCTCAGGTGATTCTCGCAGCTGGGCGAAGGCACTGCGTTTTAGAACAACCCCAAGCCGCTAAATGGAGGCAGGGGCCTTAGCAGAATAGGGTCTTGGGGCCCATTATACTATCTTTATAATAAGGAAACCCCCAAACTAACATGGATAATTATGTGGGCGCCTATATTTACATCCCTGCATCCTGACCCCCAAACCCACAACCCACCTTGAACCCTGAACCTCCCTATTGTAGAAGCCTAAATGATTACCAATATTATTCCCTAGGGTCCTCTTTATTACGGTTATTATTATCATTATCATTATTATTATTATTGTATTATTATTGTCATTATTGTTGTTATTATTGTTGTTATTATTATTATTAGAAGTCTACGATGAAGGAGCCCAAAACCCTATTCTGATTTTTAAGGCCCCTACCTTAAACCTTGGGCGTTCGGGAGCTTCATTCCCCGCTTTGGCGGGCCTCGACCGACTGGTCTAAGAGGCTGAGCAGCAAAATCTCCGCCAAGTGTGCCTGCAGCTCCTTCCGAGGGCTTATTTCCAGGAGAATTAGGAGCTGCTTGCTACCCTAAACGGCCCTAGACCCTAAACCCTAAACCCCAGTAGTTCATGACTTTCGTCAGTAGGACCAAGGTTCCGGGCTTGGGAGCTTTGGGGGGTCCGCCTTTTAGAGCTTGGGCTTGGGGTCCAGAGTTTAGGATTCTTTTTCCAGGGTTTAAGGCTTAGGTCTTGGGGTGTAGCGAAGAGCCAAAGAAAGGTTCATGGCTTGTTTTTGGGAACTCGGTAAGCCACGGCGGAGGCTTCAGGTGCTTCGTTTGGGGTTTCGGCGCTCACGCTTGAACAAGCCGGTGTCCTCGATAATTGGAATCGGGTTAGGGGTGCATATTATGCTAGTCCTTCGGGGTTGTATATGTACATGTAGTATGTATATGTATATGTATATGTACATGTACATGTACATGTATATGTATATGCATATGTGTATATGTATATGTATATGTATATGTATATGTATGCAAAGATGAACAGATGGACACGACGACATGATGGGTCATTGCTGTGGTCAGCTCGACGTGACTCACCCGAAGAGGGTTCTGCACATATGAGCCTTCCTCCCAAAGTCATCGGCTTGTGGAACGCCATAAGAAAGAAGGCTTTACGAAAAGAGAGCAGGCTCCAGCACAGGGGTCTCAGGTTTGATGCTCTCTTACCCTTGCACCCTGCAGGGACCCCAACATGGTATCACTCTGTACCCCGCAAGCTCCCGCATAGCTTAGGTGCAATCAGGAACTGAACCCTCAGTAGCGAACGTAACCTAGAACTTCCGAAACCCTAAGCCCTAGACCCTAAACCTAAAGCGCTAACGTGCGGTGTGGGATTCAAAACCGCGGTCAGTCCTCCGGAACTGTCCTGCTCAGAGCTTCCAGCAGCCTCAGGCAAAAAAGACAGGGCCCAGCAAGGAGCTCAAGTGTGCCATAATGAAAGGGTCGTAGTGGGTAGCATAAGGTTTTCGGGGTACATTACCCCGATAATTAGATTACGGACTATATTATGGGAATACTAGCAACTAAATTATTGGACCAGAGTGCACACCCTCAAGAGTCAGCTCCTCCTGATTACAGCGACCCCTGGATAAGGCACGAGCAGATCCTACCCTGGCTTGAGATTCGGTTTGGGTTTTGGGCTTAAGGGTTTAGGACTTGATTGCTGATGCTGCGCTGCGCGTATGTGTTCGGAGTGTTGGAAAGAACATGCCCCATCATTCAAAAAAAAATCTGACCCCCAGACTCACAGAAACGGGCGCAAAAGGTGCTTCAAAAGGAAGACACGTCCAAGTGCCCTAAAACCCTGCAATCTCTGAAAGGAGTCGGGCAGTTTAAAGCGTGCGCAGCAGATCACGCCAAGATAGCGAAAGAGAGGTTCACGCAGACACTAACTTGCATCAACTGAATCTCCGTGGGCATGCATGACCAACCAAATCGCCAACTGCCGGTAAAACCCGTAAAGAGGGGTGCATTAAATCTAATCAGAACTCTTCATGACAGCAAAGAGGGAGGTGCCCGAGTTCTGAAGCCATGAACACACCTCCGAAGCTTTGCGAAATCAACGGCTTAGGCCTGTGGGGGTTTAGGGCCCCCTCAAGCTCTAAGCCTCTCTCCTAAGCCTTCAACCGTCAACCCCTCAACCCGGGTTTAGGGTTTAGGGTTTACGTGGGGTTTAGGTTTTTTAGTGACACCTTTCTCCATCTGCACTGAGGGTTTAGGGTTTAGGGGAATATGTACTACGAACCCTCCAACACAAATCAACAGGGCCTTAAAAGCCCTTGTTACAATCCCTCAAAGTCCGAAACCCTCATCCCGCAAATGCCAAACCCTAAACCCCAAACCCTAAGTCCATAAAGCCTAAACCCCAAACCCGAAGCCCTAAGCCCTATTACTCAAACACTAAAACTCTAAGCCCTAAACTTTCAATCCCTAAAGCCCTAAGCCCTAAACCCTATATCCTAAACCCCAAACCCTAAACCCTAAAACACTATTCCTCAACCCCTAAACCCCTAGACCCTCAATCCCTAAAACCCTAAACCCTAAGCCCTATTACTCAAACCCCAAACCCTATACCCCAAACCCTAAACCCTAAAACACTATTCCTCAAACCCTAAAGCCGTAAAGCCCTAGACATATCAATCCCTAAAGCCCTAAACCCTAAGCCCTAAGCCCCTAAGCCCTATTACTCAAAACCTAAAGCCCTAAAGCCCTAAACCCTCAAACCCTAAAGCCCTAAACCCTAAAACACTACTCCTCAAACCCTAAAGCCCTAAAGCCCTAGACCTATCAATCCCTAAAGCCCTAAACCACTACTCCTCAAACACTAAAGCCCTAGACATCTCAATCCCTAAAGCCCTAAACAGGCCAGCGCCGCAGCAGCCGCTCCGCCGCGGCCGCCTCCAAGGTCCCCCGCTCCCGCAGGGCCTCCAGGTGACCTTGCACTGCTCTTCGGGGTTTGGGGGTTTGGGGGTTTGGGGCTTAGGGTTTACGGTTTAGGGTTTAGGGCTTAAGGGGTTTAGGGTTTAGGGGCTTTACATTGGGTTTAGGGTTGTGGGGCTTTAGGGCTTAAGGGGTTTAGGGGGTTTAGGGGGTTTAGGGGGTTTCGGGGTTTAGGGTTTGGGGTGTGGGGTTAAGGGTTTGGGGTTTGGGGTTTAGGGTTTAGGGTTCAGGTGGGTAGTTACCGTTATAAGAGCCGTATAGAAGGTCTATATACCTTACAGAAGGTTTATGGAAGCCCTACATACCCTAAACTCCCCACCTGTAGTTTCCTTCAATGCACTGCTCTTAGGGGTTTTACGGTTTAGGGCTTGGGGTTTTGATAAAGGTTCAGGGTCCAGGGGCTTAGGGCTTAGGGTTTTAGGGTTTTGCTGTAGGGCTTCGGGTCTGAAGGCTTAAAGTTTAACAAGGGTTTAAGGTCTAGGGCTTGGAGTTTAGGGTTTGGGGTTTGGGGTTTAGGGTTTAGGGTTTAGGGTTTAGGGTCTAGGGTTTGGAGTTGTGCTGCAGGATTTAGGCTCTAACGTGGCAGGGGAACTCGCACACATACACGCACACACACACAGAGAAAAAGCAGTTGCTGCACGTGTTGAACCCTCCCCTCCCGAGAGCATCTTACAGTAAGGCTTGTCGTGTCGAGTTTAGGCTCCGGGGTTTTGAGGTGCGCGATATACCTGGGCCCTAAAAGAACTTACACTTTTAGGTTTTTTGCAATGAAATCCTTAACAAAGATAGGCTATTCAGCGTCCACGTAGAGTCCAAGGCGTCGGTTAAACCAACAGGATGGCGTTATCGAAAGAACAAAAGCGAAGCCACCTGATGTGAACATGTAAAACCTCAGCCTCTGAAGCGATGATACACAGCTAGCAGCTTGTCCGCATGGGTCTCTGCACGTTGTACTTCCTTTAACGATTAGCCTGCGTCTCTGCAGCCTGACTCTTCGTGCGAGGTGTCACGATCTGTCTGATGGTACCATAGCTTTCTGCTGCTGCCGCAGGTACCATATCTTAAACCTTGTGCAAATGTTTCGAGTCGGGGCACTCCTACTTCGAGCAGAACAGAGTGTGATCTATCGTCTTCGCGGACTCCCGAAGAGGCCAATCACATCGACTTTAATAGCATATTATCTTCACCAACTCACGAACAAGGTTAAGATTATCACCTCCGTGGCAAAACTGTGGGCGACAAGACCATTCATCATCAAGTCTTGTTCTTGCCGAGTGAAAGCACCGTTCACACCATCACTACCAGTTGCCATCTTCAGCGTCATCATCATAGCCCCATCACCATTATCAGCAGCATCTCGTCTCGAGCATCATATTAACCGACAACAAAGCAACACGACATGACCGTGGCTGATGCAGCAGTACTCCGACTCGTGATGCTTCGCACCCGCACCACGAGATGTCGATCGGCAAAGCCCTTTTCGCAAGCTAGTATCCCATGCGGTCTCATTTAGATCTGTGTGCCTGGACATTGCCAGGCGCCAAGGAACTCCAGCAGATACTGGGAATCTCAGGGGAGTAGAAGCCATCAATCAAGCGCATCTTGTGAAGTTTAAACAAAAAAGGAGCTTGGCTTGCCAAACAGGCTCTAGTGAAGTTGCACCTTCTCCCCATGCTATGCATGACCACCCATCTGCTCGTTCATGCAAGTTGATATACACGAAAGCCTTCTTGGCGAAGCCTGTGGTTCTGGAACGCGGCATCCTCTCAGCCCATCAGCATCCCAAACTCCCACTGCCCCTCCGACCCAGGCCTCCGGCTCGTGCCCCTCACGAAAAGTTTCTTCGCTTCTTAGACCTCCCCCGCTGCGGGGCAGGCCTGGCTCTCCAAGACCACCCGCACGCTGTAGGGCTTCACCATACCTCGGCTCTTGCTAAGGGACGAAACCTAAGGTACTATAATAGGGCTCTGTAGAACATCATATGGTTTCGCTGGTATGGTAACTTAAGGTACCTTCCCGAACAAGAACCCAGATACTGATGATGAGGTTGTCCTGGTCAGGGCAATACTCCACCGCGTAGTCGTACTTGGTCAGGCCACAGCCGTGGTCGTTCTCCTCAGCTGTTCGGTAACCTACTACCCTACATCAGGAACCCAACAACAGAGGAAAAACTATAAAAATGTAGTATACCACTGAATCAGCTATACCACTGAACCAGCTAGACCTAGTCTCAATGGTGATCACGTTGTCGTTGTTCTCGAAGTTGGCACCCTCGCACTCAGCGGTCTGGGGACCCTCGGCCTTCATGTCCACGATGCCCACCTCACCATCGTGGCTCACGACGTGGATCGAGAAGGTCTCGGTCAAGAGCGAGCCACCGTAGCAGACCGGCCCTGCCGGGATGCTGCCCGAGCCGCTGCACTGGAGCTCTGCACCGCGGAGCTCCGGCTTGCACACCGCGAACCCAAAGAGGCTGATGAGGATCCGGTTGAGGAGAGCCATGGCTGCAATCCGGTAGAAAGAGGCGGTCGCAGGAAGGGCCGAAGGGATGATCCCAAAAGAGCTCGAGCCGGCCATTTTTGCATTAGTATTAGTATTAGTATTTCAATTAGTATTAGTATTAGTATAGGTATTAGTAGTACTATTAGTTTCCAAGCATTGAGGGTGTGGGAAGGCTTCTTGACGGACTAGAGTCACTGCCGTCGCCTCCAGCTCGCCCCTAGGAAGTTTGAAAACCTCATGCGACCAGGAGGCGGGAAAGCACCGCAGCCAAAGCCTGTCATCAGACTCTGAAACATCAGGTACGACTGCTTTTCAATTTGCGAATCGGGACTGCTGAGTATGACGACCCTAACGGCGTTGCTGTTGTCGTCGCTATTCTTGCTGTGCAAGTCGCCGGCCCATGTTATCATCAGTCTCTTGGCTGCTGGTCTTGCTAATGACAAGTGCGGATTTTGTTGCTACTGTTGTAGCTGCTGCCCCTGGATAGCCATGTCACTCATGTGCTGTTGATACTGCAGCCACTGCTACTGCCCGTATCTCGACAGAAGCAACCCACCATGGAGGAGCATGCACACGTGAAGGAAAACATTGTGCACTAGACTTGCTAGACTGATGCCAACTTGGCATCAACTTTTCTTGAGACATTTCACCATGATAGCCCTCCAACCCATTGACCGATAAGCATCGAATCATTGCCATCCCTCTGACAATCATTCACAACAGAAACATTCAATATCAGTTGTTGACTCGATCATCTAGAAGACGGCAAATTCGGAAAATGCCTCCCAGGCGGCCTATAGCCCCTATAAGCCCAGACACCCCAATACCCCTTGGTATATTCCATAAATAAAGTGTATTGGGCTCTCTGAGAGCCAGTTTAGGAGGTTATAGCCTTTGAGGCTTAGGGCGCCAAAGTCCAACCGTGGACAAAGTGCAAATGCTTTTTTGCCTCCCAGGGCGTAAGCACTTACTCTGTAAGGAACCCGATGAACAGAGCAGAAAAGAATAGAAAAGAACAGAATAGAAAAAATTAAGATCATAGACATACCATCTTACCACATCATGTAGTATAAAAAGTACATTGCCCCTTCCCCCCCTGGCCCTGTTGCTGCTGCCATCAGAGCCGACCAGGGCCTGGCGATACAAAAGCAAGGACCCGGGCCTTCGAAGATTCAGGATGCAATGGATGAAGCCTTCATAAGAATACGTGCTTTCTTCCTTCTTCCACAGGTTTAGGGTTTAGGGGTTTGGGGTTTAGGGCAGTTTAGGGTGTACGGGTTTAGGGTACTTTAGGGTTTAAGAATACTCTCTCTCTCTCTCTCTCTCGTTCTCTCGTTGTCTCTCTCTGCTGTGCCACTCTCAAGGGTGTCGCTATGCAATCACGAGGCATAGCACGAAACGAATAATAGTAGTACACATAATAACAACCATAAGAATAAGAACAATGATAATTAATGATATGAAACAGAAGTAGTTGGTAGAAATAACAACGAATAAGAATATTGAACAGTTACAAGAAGAAGAGGCTAAGAACAATAGGTTGTTGGCGGGGTGCATACCAGGCCTCCTGTGCCCTAGCATTGCTGTAAACACCGGTACTGTCGCAATGGATGCTGACTTTTTGTTGTTGCCCCGCTATGTCGCTACGTTTATTGAGCACGATCGGCACAACTGCCTGAAGAGCGGCTTTGCGGCTGTTGCTATTGCCATACCTGGGAAAGCATCAAGGCTCAGCATTGAGGGCCGGCTTTGACCTCAACTCAGGTTGTGTCCTTTCGAAATGTTGTGTAAAATCAAGTCAGCCTGCGCTGTTTCCAAAAAAAATGTGCATTCGCAAGAGGTAAGAGGACTGCATGAAGTTGCGTTAAGGGACCGTGACTTCTTGGACGATTGACAGGTGGTAGTTGTGAGAGTTCGTTGCAGCTTGGTAGGAACTCGGAAAGGGAGAACACTGCAACTTTACCAAGTGGCACATTGCTCCCTGCCATCATCATCTGAGCCACGGCGATTACCTCGCAGATCGCACGAACTGTGCCTCTCTGGGCTACCTAACATGAGTCCTAGGCTCTAGATCGCTCACTGGTACGTAAATGGATCTCCCTCTTTTCCGGCCCTGGCCAGGGGGACTCCAAAAATGCCGGCATTTGGTGCGTCAAGGTTCTATCAAGAAGAGGAACTTGGGGAGTGCTGATCCACTAGGTAACCCAAAAGGGGATCCCTTTAAAGTACTAAAGCGTTCTATATTAGGGCGATGATTCCTACCTTCCTGTCTGGCCTGAGAAAAATTACCCTGGAAAAAAAAAGCCAGGAGACAATGGCCAGATCGCCAGGCACGTGCTCATAGAGAGCAATGAAGCTCTGCATGGCTTTAGAGCATACCTGTCAGGGTTTCGGGTTTTTTTTGGTGCCCCAAACCCGAAAGGGCCTCGTAGCAACTGGGTTTGCGGCTTAGGGTTCAGGGTTTAGGGGGCTCCTTTTCATGGACAGAAGCGGTATCCCTCTCCGTGGAAATACTTAGCGCCTCATGCTTGGTCCTACTAATAGAATTTGAACCTTAATTACTTTCGCGGAATTTTGCTCACTTTTTGAGCAAATTCCGCGAAGCGATGCCAGTAATCTGGCTGGATGACCGCCATCTGTTCGCGGAATTTGCTCAAAAATGAGCAAATTCCGCGAACGGATGGCAGTCAGTGAGCAAATTCCGCGAAGCGATGGCAGTATCCGGCTGGATGACCGCCATCGGTTCGCGGAATTTGCTCACTGACCGCCGTCCGTTCGCGGAATTTGCTCATTTTTGAGCAAAAATTCCGCGAAGCGATGGCAGCGATGGCAGCTATCCAGAGGGTTTAGGGTTCGGGTCTCAAAAACTTCAAAAAGCATTTTTATATACAAACAGAATTTCTTATTTTCCAATGTTGTGGGATTCACGGGGGGGTGGGCGTTATGTCTAAATTATAAATGTAACTGTACTTCAAAACTGCTCGATCCGGAGCTGCTGAACCCTAAACCCTAAACCCCCTTAGGAGACGCCAAAAAAGAGGGCGCCCTGCACTTCATCCCAACGCCTCGGCATCTTCGTCCCGGAGGGACAGCAGGAGGGCGCCGAGGGTGCGCCGGTTGCCCTGGGCTGAGCTGGGGTCTTAGGGTTCATCTCGGGGCCTTAATGGTTAGAGTAGGGTTTTGGGGTGCAGTATACTGCAAGGATAACAAGGAACCCCAAACTTTTTATAGGCAACTCTTAGGGCCCTTAGGATTAAGCGATCTAGACTGTGATGCTTGTAGGAGTCCTGGGGGGTTCGGGTTCAGGGGAAGCTTCAGGCTCCGGCTCCGGAGTTCCGGGGAAGGGGCTCAAGCAACCATGCACGCGTGATTAGTTATGGGGGGGGGGGG